AAGTGAACCATTCGTTAACTATTAACGAATATTCATTTGGTCATATTCAACTCTACCATTCGTTAATAGTTAACGAATCTCGTTTGGAATAAATGAATCATTCTATCAGTGCAGGTCCATCTAGGTCTGGAGAGATCTTGAAAGACCTGTGTACGTCCAATCAGAACCAAATCCTCGTCTCGGGTTGGGAGTTATCGATAAATGAAAAATTGAAATTTTTAAATTGAGATTTTTTTTTTTCATTTTCGGGAAATTCTTGGGTAATTTTTAATGAGAAGTGGGCATTTGCCAATAAATGAGTAAATTGAAACTTTGAATGGGAAAAAACATCAATTTTTGGGAAATTTGTGGACAATTTTTAGTGTAAAGTAGATACTGACCAATAAATGGATAAATAAATTGTAGGGTCGTAAGTATATAGAATCCAACCCTTCCGAAACTGGCCCTCATAAGTCCCTGATAACTCATCTCTCCACACAAATGTCCACTCCTGACCATGAGAATCAACGAATAATCGGTGAGAACAGCTACGACTATCAGGAGACCTATTCCGAGGCCAAAGCCTGACTGATGTAGGGCATAGGGGATTCCTGAAAAATGCGAGAAAAATCTCATCAATTTTCCATCAATTTTTTAACTGGATAACAAATTGTGATATTATTAATTACTCACCAATTACTCCACTCCCGATGATGGAATTGATGAAATTAAAGCTCGCCAGTGGCAGACTAGAGAATTTACCCGACTCATCCTCCTCCTCCCCCTGAAATCGTCCCCAATCACTTCAATTATAATCAATCCAAATAATTCATTAAAAATCGAAATCAAAACCTCGATTTCGTGGGATGAATTCTCCAATAGTTTTTTCTAAAACTCCTTCACTACTTGAAGACACTAGTGGGCATGTACATGTACAAATCTACAGTCAATAATAAACAAAATTATAATCAAAATCGGAATAAATAATCTGTTGACATTTTCTCGCAAGATAATTATCGAGATGAAATGAAGAAAAGATCATGCTCATGCCGAATTCAATTCCCGAGCATTTGAAATCTTCATTAGTTGTTAATTAATTATTACTTAATAAGCACTATTTCGAACGCTCATGGTTAAAAAAAGGCTAATTCAAGTCCGAAGCTTGAGATTTAAAAATAAAAAGAAATCATGCTAGTGCCTATTCCGAGTTATGGCCTCGGGAATAAGAAAAAAACTACTGAAATGCGGGCAAAAAAATTGCGGCATGAATCCTCAGTCAAAAGTTGATAGAAAAATCTGAAAGATTGCTTAAAAAATTTGTTCATTTTATAGAAACCGGATGAAGTGAGTTGAGGGTGATTTAAAGCGGATAAATAATTTCAAGAAATGTTTAAAAATACGAAGTGGAAACACCGCCATCTCTAAAGCGCCCACACATTTGAACATTTCCTAAAATTATTCATCGTTTTCAAATTACCTTTGATTCTTTTCCCCCAGTCCCTACAAAATGAACAAATGTTTCATGCTATCTTTCAGATTTTTCTTTCTTTTCCGAGGCAATCAATCATTTTTTGTCCATTCATTAATGGCAAAATAAAGTGAGGTTAGGGGCGGGGTGAGGTTAGAAATAAAAAAAAATTACTGATATACAGGTAATACTCTGCGCCATGAATTCTCAGCCAAAATCTGACGGAAAAATCTGCAAGATGGTTTAAATAATTTGTTCATTTTATAGAAACCAGATGGAGTGAGTTGGGGATGATTTGAAGCAGATAAATAATTTTAAGAAATGGTTAAAAATTCGAGGTGGAGGCGCCGCCATCTTTAAAACTTTCACACCATTCAACCACCTCGTATTTTTAAACACATCTTGAAATTATTCATCTTCTTCAGATCACCTTTAACTCCTTTCCTCCAGTCCCTAGAAAATGAACAAATGTTTCAGGCTATCCTTCAGATTTTTTTCTTTTCGGAGGTAATCAAACATTTTTGGTCCATTCATTAATGACAAAATAAAGTGAGGTTAGGGGCCTCAGAAATGAAAAAAAAATTACTGATATTATTGATTACTGGTTCATTCTATAGAAACCGGATGAAGTGAGTTGGGATGATTTGAAGCGGATAAATAATTTTAAGAAATGTTTAAAAATTCGAGGTCGTGGCGCCAGCATCTTTAAAGCCCCTTGCGGCATAGGGAGGGAGTATCCAATCAAGATGGCGGCCGCCACACTGGTTAACCACTTCGTATTCTTGAACATATCTTAAAGTTACTTATCCTCTTCAGCTTACCTTCAACTCATTTCATCCAGTTCCTAAAAAATGAACAAATTTTTCAAGCTATCGTTCAGAGTTTTTTCATCCTTTTTGGCTGAGAATTCATAACATAAACTTTTCCCCGCATTTCAGTAATTTTTTTTCTACTCCTAAACCCTCTTAATCAATCATCCAACCAAATGAGCATTCCGAATGTCCCATGCGTCAAGACTCATCTCTAAATAAAATATAAAAAACTGTTAAACTGTCTTTTAACAGAAGTAATAATCACTTTTAATGAAACATTCCGATGGCATTATTTATATTTATTTGCGGTATGCTGATGGTTATGATGCTGAAGACCCAAAGGCGATGACGATGATGAGCATGATGAGCAAAACACGATTAACAAACATGGAAAAATATGTGAGAAGAATTTCATTAATCAGATCGTTAAGGGGAGGCCCGAGTGAGACAACACGATTATCTTACCCTCACGAGCTGTCTCATATCGTCGTAGGAGTCATCGGTCCCCAAGCTGTTGCCCTGTCGATTATAATCCCCCAAAATTTCGGTTTGTGCGTGAGGACAATTGCATTATCAGATAATTCAAGAATCTTCCATTCAGTTTAACATAAAAATAATTTTTCATTCTGTTTCAACGAGTTTTTTAGTATCAATTTTTTTAAACAAAAATCAATGTTTTGATTTCGTGGAATAATTTTTAGTGAATGTTATTTTTCAGAGTTCAAAATCCTCTTGTTCTCGATAACAAAAGGAATGTTTTCTTAATGAATGGAAGTAATCTTTTATTTTGTTTGCTGAAACGAGATTTTTTTTTGTGCGGATTATGTACATTGCCTGTCTGTGCTGTGAGATAAGAGGGATGAGTACCATTTATGAATCTCGTTACATAATGCACGTGGAAAAGTTCACAAATGTCAGGCCCATAAATAATGAATGAGGGACAAAAAGAAAAAAGATGATTTTTTTTATGTCAAGTGAAATGAGTGGAGGACCCTTTAATGCAATCGACATTCCGGGATAATTCCAATCATTAATAACGCTTGTCGCTGATAAGAACTGTATTTTTGTATTTTTTCTGTCTCACAATTAATCATCCGTAATTTAAGTACGTTTCCACGAGGGAAAAAAAAAATTATGATTCGAAGAGCAAAAGGAATTGATTTTTGACAAAAATATCGAGTTTTTGAAAGTTTTCAATTTTTTAGAAATTGGAAAGTCTTGAATCTTGAAAATTATTCCATGAACAATATTTTCAAATTATTAAAAATATAAAGTTTTCAGAAAAATTGATTATTGAAAAAATTGAAAAATTTTGGGGTTTAAAAATGATTAAATGAGCAATATTTCTAAATTATTACAAAATTATTCAAAATATAAGGTTTTCCAAAAATTTCAATTTTTGTTTTAATTAAAAAATTTTAAATCGTGAAAATCATTTCAAGAATATTTTTCTTGTTATTAAAAAGCCATTAAAAATATCAAGTTTTCAAAAAATCTCGAACTTTTAAAGAATGTCTAAATGATTATTTTTATCATAAAAAAAATCATTCCAGAACAAAAAATCACCTTTTGAAATGTGAAAAAGCCAAACAACAAAATTTCATTACATTTTGTGTCACATTATCTCCACACTTTTAAAATGTCTGAAAAAATGCGCTCAACAACCGGAGATCGGCAGAAAAATAATTTTCATTGTTGATATTTCATTACAATATCAATGGTTTATAAAAAAATTGAATTATCATTTTTCGCAATGTATAATAAAACCAAATGTATTTTTCATTGCGATACTAACGAGAAATGACACTAAAAAATGAATCAAATAATTTTTTAATCAATAATGCTACAAAATTCAATTTCATTATTATGTCAATAGAACATATAAAACAGAAAATACCGATTTCTTTCGTCATGAATAATGGAAATATTGCAATTTTCATTATTGATCGAATGATTACTTTAAAATAGTTCAAGTCAAATCAAGTTTAATTCCCGATCAGATTTCTAATAATTTTTGGTTTTTAATTATTACTCATTGGTATGGTATTTGAAAAATATGAATTTCTCAATATTCATTTATAATATGATGAAAAATATCTACCAGACCAAACCTCTGCCAGAGATCGGCAGGACAATAATTTCCGTTATTAACATTTCATTACAATATCAATGATTAATGAAAAAACTTGAATTATGATTTGTTTCGTAATGAATAATAATACCAAATAATTTTTCAATCAATAATGCTACAAAATTCAATTTCATTATTATGTCAATAGAACATATAAAGCAGAAAATACCGATTTCTTTCGTCATGAATAATTAAACACAATCAATTCTTTTAATTAATTCTTTTCAGTAAAATATAATGATAGTTTTTAATAATATTTGCCGTTAGAAGGACGGTGGCGATATACAGTAGTATATATATATATATATATACCTGTAATAATAATAATAATAATAATAATAATAATAATAATAATAATAATAATAAAATGTAATAATTATAAAAATGAAAAATCAATTATTTGAAATAATAATAATTCTTTTCAGTAAAATATAATGATAGTAAACACAATTAATTATTCACTATAATAGTAGTGGATAGCAGAGAATTAAAAAATCCGATGACTTTCGTCACGAATAATGGCAATATTTCAATTTTCGTTATCGATCGAATGATTACTCAAAAATATTCAAGTGTAATTCCTGATTAGATTAATAATACTTGTCCATTTTTAATTATCACTCATTGACACGGTATCTGAAAAATGTGAATTTCTCAATATTCATTCATAATACAATGCCAAATATTTCCGCGTTAGCCGCGATTAAGCAAAAAAATAAGTGTCTGCGGTGAAAATAATATTTTTGCCGATTTCCGTCGAGAACCCTCAACCTTGCTTTTTCCCCGAAATCACACTCTAAATAATAAAAAAGAGATGAATTCACTCACATCCTCATAATTTTTTCGCGCATCCAAAATGTAGCTTTTCTCATCGACACTCCTGGAGGCTTCCTGTGCCATTTCCCTGACAATCCGTGGTAGTCCCCCGAATAATATCCGCGATATTTTATATCTGAGGCCAGCTGTTCGCGATAAGCCTGCCTCCTCTTCCACCCGGAAGACAACTCAGTCTTTCAGTCGATCGAGAGATGTTAATCACATTAAATGCCCCTTCCTATTTCACTCTTCCCCGTGACGACTTTTGACAGCTCCTTATGCCCCAAAATACGACAACTGAATCAACTATTCGGGGAAATGATGCTATGAGGGAACGGAGGGATGAATGAAAATGCGGAGGCGTTCGGGATCCACCGGGACTGCTCTCTGTCTCTATTATTGATTGACAAAGTTGTGTCGAGAGTACACATGCGGGAATCGGGGAAGTGGTGGTGGAGGCGAGAGCGACCGCCAACTGGCCTCGATGGAGGCACCTCAGAGACTCCCCCACGCCTGCGCCTCCCCCAGACCTCGTTGAGAATATGATCCTCCAGGTGGTAAACAAGATGATATATCATATGGCAAGACTCCTTGGAATTTTCTCATTTCGCATTTTTAGACGTGCAGAGGCACCGGGAGTTGAAGAAAGAACTGCTGAAGTG